ACTTATAAAAGCTTTTATAGATTGTAATTCAATAGATGATCTTAAGTGATTATAACTTGAGAAAGTTTCTTTTCAGTTCACAGATATCTCTGAAGATCATGTCTAGAGACTCAGTTTGAAAGTGTTTACAGACAGTAAGCATTTCTTGTAGAAAAATAGCTTGATTTTATAAAAGATGCTCAAGAATGTTCTTCACTGAGATTGATTTATTCATAAGTTCAGAGAGTTTCTCTGTCACAGATGCAGAGAATGATGTTCTGTAAGTGATTAATAAGTTCTCTGAGACTTCTTTTATGAGAGTTATTCATGATTCAGATAGCTGCTTCTGAGTGTCTGCAGTAGAGTTTACAGAGATTGAAGTATATAAGTTTCTAATTCTTTCAGTTATAACAGACAGTTGCTGACTGACTGAGCTTGAAATGTAAGAATAAGTGCTCACAGACAATTATTTAGGTGTTTGCAGCTTGATGTGATATGTACTGTTAACTACTAGAAGTGTTCACAGTAGAAAGATAAAATGTAGAAGTCAAATATATAATAGCATTCAAGCTGAGTTATGAATAGTATTTGTGAACTTCAGTCTATATAGTTGTGTGTAGCCAAGGGCCGCTAGCCCTATTGATTACATGAGAGATAGGAATAGAGGTAAAGAATCTGCGAGAAGCGGGATTTCTTACATCTTCACTGTTAAAGTCTTTAATATTAGTATCTTTGTCTGTTAAGAAGTTAGTACTGCAGTACTGCAGAGAAGCATGCTATAGAAGAGTATAAGAGATACTTAAAGTATTAACTTATTAATTTATAAAATATCTCAGTTATCTGCTTCAATTGAAGTAAGATTCTCTTCAATTAGTAATTAATCTTTATAATACTTTTAATAGCAGTACTGATTAGACTGACTGTGTGATTGTGTCTGAGACCAGAACCAGATTTTTTGATAGTCTCATTATCAATTCGACTGATCCCATTACACGGTTTTAACATTAGATAGTGGTCTCATACTGTCTCAGTGAGACTTACTGTCTACTCTTGTCACATTTTTCAAATGAGACCATGATTTTCACTTCTCAATTTAAATTATTTTTATTGCTTTAAATGACTTTAAATCTCATTTGAGTGTTATCAAAAAGTGTTACTTTTTAAAAAATTAAAAATAGTCTAAAAAAAACCTTAAAATGTCTAAAAATAGTAACTTTATGTCAAGAATGGAACTAAATGAGATCAAATGAGATCACTTTCTCATTTTTTTCAAGTCATGGTTTCATTTTAAGATCTGATATATAGTCACTTTACATGTTTTTTTGATAGCCAGTCCCAGCGGGATTCACGCCAAGAAATGTATGAGATCAGACCAAATGGAATCAAACATGAAATTCATGGTTCTGGCGGCCAGTCTAGTACTGATTAATCTCTTCTTAAGATCAGTTATTCTGAGATATTTTTTCATCTCAGAGATTCATGCTTTTATCTTCTTTTACAGATAAGTAAGAGAAATCTCTTCAGTCTTGATAGAATCTGTTAATACTTGAAGGTCTGAGATTCTTGCTCTGTACTACTTGAGTATCTGAGCTTCTTATCAGAGTTAATATAACATCTTCTTACAGAGTAGATAATACTTACAGAGAGATAGAAGTTATTATTACAGATACAATAAAAATAATAGACATAAGAGAAGAGATAAATATATAAAATCTCTCTCTTCTTCAGTTACTTAATACAGTGTAGATAAGTAGTAATACTAATCAGAGACTGCACTAAAGTCTTCTCATAGAGAGAAGATAAAGAAACTGTAAGACTCTGCAGACTTAACTCAGTAGTATTCTAAGCAGAGCTCAGACATGCTGTAAGAGAGAAACTATGAATTAAGCTTCTCAGAGTTACTATTTCTGAAATCAAGCTCTCTCTGAAATTCTCTCTGAATGATCACACAGAGTTATACATTATTATATTAACTGAGAGAAGAAATGATATTACAATGATAATAAAGAGAGTAGAGAAAGAACTGAATATAAATGAATTAATTAGTAGAAGAGATAATATCTCACTATAAGATATAGTAACTACTGCTATAACTGTAAGAGAAGTAGAAAGAGAAGAAGAAGAAGATATAATAATAAGAATAATACTTTCATAGTCTGTTAACACTGCTATCTTCATCTTTAACTGAGCTTTCTTAACAGTCATAGAAACTGCAGCTGCATTATAAAGATATTTATTACTTACTAGAAAATATCAGAATAAGTCTCTTATTATCTTTCAAGAATAATGCTTTTATACACTCACTATTACAGATAAGAGAAAGAGAAGAAAAATGTATTATAGAGAAGAGAATCTTTTTAAAAAATTCTATCACTACTATTAGCTTTATCTCTAAAATACATCACTTTTACAGAGAATTTTATATATAGAATGAAATATGATAAGAGATCTATAAGTTACTTATTAACTATATTTCTCATATCTTAAATTAATATATAAGAAACTCACTTATTATATATTTAATTTGAATGAAGATGAGAAAAGAAAGATCTATATAGTTAGTAGAAAAACTCATCTATTTCTTTATACAGTATATATACTATTAATCAGTTGATAATTATTACTATATAATAAAGATAACTTCTAATCTGATAATCTTAAGAGTATCAGAACTAGACTGGCCGCTGAGACCATGAATTTCATGTTTGATCTCATTTGATCTGATCTCATACATTTCTTGACGTGAATCCCGCTGGAACTGGCTATCAAAAAAACATGTAAAGTGACTATATATCAGATCTTAAAATGAAATCATGACTTGAAAAAAATGAGAAAGTGATTTCATTTGATCTCATTTAGTTCCATTCTTGGCATAAAGTTACTATTTTTAGACATTTTAAGGTTTTTTTTAGACTATTTTTAATTTTTTAAAAAGTAACACTTTTTGATAACACTCAAATGAGATTTAAAGTCATTTAAAGCCATAAAAATAATTTAAATTGAGAAGTGGAAATCATGATTTCATTTGAAAAATGTAATAAGAGTAGACAGTAAGTCTCACTGAGACAGTATGAAACTACTATCTAATGTTAAAACTGTGTAATGAGATCAGTCAAATTGATAATGAGACTATCAAAAAATCTGGTTCTGATCTCAGACACGGTCACACAGTCAGTCTAATCAGAACTATACTCTTAAAGAGAAGAGTATTATTATACTTCTGACTATATTAAGACTCTGTTATAGTTTCACACAGCTTATTACTTTTATATAAATAATTTCATTTATTCTACAGATTATCTGAACACTTAATAATATCATTCAGATATATTATAGAAAGATCTGATTAATAAATATAAGAATCTCACTTCTATACAAGATTAGCAGATTACTCTTTCTTAATAGTGAGATATCACTGAGATATCACTTCAGCTATTCTCACTTATGAAATGAGAGAAAAGTATTCACTTATTATCTATATAAAATAGCTAGATACTGATTTCTTATTAAAGAAGTGAGTAATTCATTTTTCTTCTACTGAAATATATACAAGAGTTACTGTATATTTTATACAATCTTCTTAGTATACTAAGTATTATATCTGTGATATTCTTGTAATAACTCTGTAGTCTATGAGCTCACTATTTAAGCAAGATGATTAAGCCTACTTATACAGCTTCTTAAACAACTATCTCTATATAATGTCACTGACTAGTTACTGCTTCAGTTCCGTCATATTATAAATATATAATAGTTAACTTTACAGATATAGAAAAAACTCTGAGAACTAAAAGTTCTCAGATAGATATTATAGTCTCTGACTACATACATCTATAATTAAAGAATAATAATAATAATAATAAGAAGAAGAATAATAATAATAATTATCAGCCTACTACTTCTACAGTAGTTTATTTATTCATTTTACTGTTTCTTTATTTTCTTATTCTTCAAATTCTTATTAGTTCTTCATAAAATCTTTGACAAAAGACACTACTATTTTTGTATATAATATTTCTTCTCTAGTTATAGAACTGCTCTGCTGAGTTATAAATATCTACTTAATAGAGTAGTAATTAAGAGAGGTGTTAAATTCTCTCTCTACAAATTAACTGCTTCTATATAAGTAAGATATTCACTGATTACTTAGTATATTTACATATATAAAAGACTGCACAATAGATAGATCTTAATAATATAATTAATTACTACATTATATTATCTTTATTAAAAAGAGAATTTTTATAAAAGCTTAATATTTTTCTTCAAAAAAATTTACTGTATATAATTCATTTTAAAATTTTTCTATATTTCTTGTTTTAATATAATTGAAAGCTTTAAACTCTTTTTTTTCTTATATTTTTTTAAGAAATTTATTTTAACAGTTTATTTTAACTTTTTTAATATTTGAAAAATATTTATTTTTAATAATTTTAAACTCTTTATTAAATATTAAGCTGTTTTTTCAATTTTTTTTAACAGTAATTAATTCTTTTCTTTTGAAAATAATATTTTTATTTTATTATAATTTAAAGTGGTCAGAGAACTTTTTCTTGGAAGTATTTTCTTTAATATTTATTAAAAGAATAGATATATCAGATTTACTTTATTTTTAAGTATTTTATTTGTAATATTTTAACTCAGATTTTAATAAAGCTCACTCTATTTTTCACATTTCAGCAGTTTTATATTTTTTTTAACTGCTTTTCAATCAGCTTTTTCAAAGTTATAGTGATTAGAGAGAAGAGGATTTTCACTCATTTCTTTTTCACTCAGTTTAATATCAAATTAAATAACTTCATAACTTGATTCTGATGTCTCACTTCAATTAATAAGCCAGTTTATAAGTCTTTTTTTAATTAGATTTTGTGACATGAAAGTTAAATCTATTATGTTAGCCTGGAGAACAAGCATTCCAGGAATTCAATTGCGTCATGCTGGAATTGACAGTCTGTAAACTCTGTATACAGGAAATTGACTCCTCTGGATATACATACAGCTCTCCAAAACCGCTGTGAGAAATGGCCACTTACCCGTGGTCGAGGAGCTACGAAATCATGAACAAACCGATCCGGATTTCGTGTCTGATGAATATGGGCACACACACCGCTGTATCTGGCAGCTTCAAATGGCCATGATGCCATTTTGGGGCTTCTCGTGGGGCGTGGGGATGTTAACATCAACTGCGGCGCGGTAGCCCCTGCCGCGTCGTAAGAGCATTGACCTCGCCTTTGCAGCCGCTGGGGGCCATGAAGCTATAGTGCAACGTTTGCTTCGAGGGGCTGCTGGTGCTGATGCCAATGGGGAAGGTCAGGTTGCCCCGTGGCCCACCCAACACCGGATCCGAAAACGCCTCCTCAGGTGCCCATGTCAACAGCCCTCATGTTTCAGCGAGCTTCTCTCTACTATCTGTCGCTGCGGAGAAAAAGGCTTCAGGCTATCACACCTCTTTTGTTGAGCCGGCCCGGAATCGATGTTAATTTGCATTCACCGTTACGTTACAGTAGCCAGAGGGCAGCCTAAGACCCACGGCCGGCCATGGCGAAATTGTACTTTGTTTGCTACGCCAATGTTATGAGGGTGGAGATGATGATATTGACGGGACAGTGGTCGTTGAGGGTTTTCAGAACCCCTTGACTGCGCTTGACTGTGCAGCTGCCGGCGGCCATGACTTGATTGTTAAATTGCTTCAAGACTGGGCTGTATCACAAATGGGGCAAAAACTGACCATCTACGGAGTACCTCTGCACCGACTGATGAACCATGAAAACTCAATGTAATTAATTTTACGGGTATCCTACGGACTTCAATGGCTTTATGATCATTTTGGCCTCAAATTATGAATATCACGATTCCCGCGTCTATAGTAGCCAAATCAACATTTCCAATCCAAATAATCTGGGGACGTAACTTACGTGAGGTGAAAGGTATATGAACATTGCCCAAATGTTCATAGTAGCTACATAATAATGTATGAATGTAGTAGTAGGTAGGGCTGGGCAGGAAAAAAAAAAAAAAAAAAAAAAAAAAGGGAACCTATATTGAAACACGTCTTATTGGTAATGTAATAATATATGTAAACAACAAGAAAAGAAAAAAAAATATATGCAAAGTAAAGGAAAGAAGGGGAAAAAAGAAAGAAAGAAGAAAAAAGAGAAAGAAAGAAAGAAATAATCGTTCTCACTTTCAATCAAAAATATATTTTTTCAAATTTTTTATTATTACCAAAGAAAGCGCCCCTAATTTTCTCCACTCATGACGCCTGGAGAGGGGAAGGGGAGAGGGAGGTGAAGAGAGTCAAATAATATAACACAGGAGGTGGGCAATGGGGGAGAGGAAGGAGAGAGGGGGGGGAAGAAAATAAGGGAGACAAAGTGGGTAAAAAGTTAACTACTGTTCCTTCTTAGCCGGGGGGCTCTGGATGTGGCCCTTGCCCGTGTAGCCTTCACTGCTGATACCAGTGATGGGGTCCATTTTCTCTCTCTGTGCGTGGATTAGTACGATATGGTTTGTAGAAGGAGTTGTTGATGACGCACCTTGGCATATTCATTCGTAGCCTCCTGCCACTCCCTGGTCATCGTCCTGGGCGGCGGGTTGGCGAACGCGCGCACGGTGAAGAAGAAGGCGGCGGAGATGACGAGGTATTTCATAACTTGCACGAAGACGCGGAGGCCTTCGCCCTTGGGAGTTTCGGCGCGGGGGCCGTGGGGACCGAAGGCGATGTAGTAGGCTGGGAGAGGTTTTTGTTAGTATTTGTGCATATCATATATAACTAAGGTTTGAAAAACGTGGGGAGGGGATGGGAGGGAAAGCAAGGGTGGCTGATATGGCATCAATTGAACGCTGGGAGAAACGATATAGACATAATCTCCTCGGAAAAACCGGCTTGCGGAAATTCCAGCCCAAAGCCCAAAGCCCAGAACAGGAAAATCAAAAACATGATAAAAAAAAATTAAAAAAAAGAAAAGCAAAGTCGAGAACAGGAGCACATACCCGCCTTCTTCTCCTGCAAGGTCATTTCATGCCAATCAACCTTCATCCGATCTCTCAGCTGCATCCACAGCTCAGCCTGCTCCTGCGGCGGCATGGCCTCCCAGCGCTTCTCAATGCCAGCCAGAGTCGGGTTGGCAATTGCATGCTCAGCGGTGGTGGTAGCCATTGAGCGGGTCTGTTGGCTCTTGTTGGCCATCGAGCAATTGCTGCTACGGCGATAGGAGTAGAGGCATGCTCCTATTGTCTGGCTGGAGGGGGATTGGCGGTAGGCACGGGCAGTGGTTGCTGTTGATCGGGCTACAGAAGCGAGGCTTCTGGGCAGCGCTGTGCGGAAGGACATTGTCTTTGGGAGGGGCCCGGGGAGGGGAGGTATGTCAATGGTACAGAGGGGGGGGATTGGTGAAGGGGGGAGGGCCAATGGCTGGCAGATGGATAGATATACAGCAGAGCGGAATGGGGGGAGAGCAAACAGAGCGGTTCCACGACGGCGCAGAAGAAGTTGTTGATTGACGATGAAGTTTGAAGTCGACGTTGTGGTCCCAAACGGGACGGTTAGGTAAGCAAGCGGGTTGGTGCCGGGAACGGGAAAGGCGCCAAGCGGCTGCTTCCGAAGCTGAGTCAGCGGGAGGCTGGCTTGCCATGATCGTACGATCTGCAGGAAGGACACACAGGCCAGGACAGGGTGATTGATGGATTTGTATTTATTGTCAACGATATGGAACTGGGTGAGTTGGGGGATGGCTGAATATATGGATGTATGGGATATACGGAGCACAGTGGGAAAAAATACTAAGCGCAAACAAGAAGAAAAGAAAACACAGGCTCATGAAAGAGATGCCAAAGCATTCACGTCATAAACTGCGAGCAACGCTGGGGCTCCATCGCCCAGTACGAATCCCATCCAAACAAGTTCAAGTTCAGCTGAGAGGGATAATGAACAAAAACGAATCAGAGCGTGGAACGAAAACAGTACATTTTATGTGTATGCCCTTGCTTTGCTTGTTGGGGTTGGCCTGACATCATCCAACGTGGCCCCCTTCCCTTCCTCTGCTCCCATTTCCCACGCCTTTGCATGATTTTAACATACATACACATTCTTCTTCCCTACGTCGCGGTATCATTTTCCAGTTCCATTTCCAGTTCTTTTTTATTTCCTCCCCCCTCCTTTCTCTCCTTTTGCCTTGATATCTCTCCCTGTTCCCTTGATTCCTTCCTCCCACCGTACTTCACCTCTTTATCAAAAGACAGAGTAGCAACGCAAGAGCAAAAAAAAAAAAAAAAAACGGAAGACAAGGAAAGACGGAAGTTCGAAATTAGAGTATCTATTTCTTCACGCTAATCTCCTGCAGGTTCTTCCACTCGAGCTCATCCTTGTCGTCGGCGTGGATGCTGACGTGCGGGTTCAATGCGTTCTTGAGTGTTTCTCGTGTGGTGGCGTAGATCATGGACGACTACGTTTTTAGCTTAATTAGTACTTCCCAGGGGAAAAGAATAGGATCATGAAAAAAAAAAATTATTGTTTCGGCCGGTGGAATTACTCACGAAGGTGGGTGTGTCGCTGGGGACCCAGGAGATGAAGATAATCTTTTTTCTATCAAGCGGGTAGATCAGATATGTCAGCTCTACATCATGTACGTACATGTACATAGACAATTCGTCTTGCTTTGAAGGAGAGCGATAATAGACTAACCGGATCCCATCGCTTCCAAGATCGAACTTGCCATCGTACAGCGCATACCGGGGGGCGGGTTTCCCCTTGCTATCCTTGGACTCGATCAGCTTGGTGCGGAAGGCTTCATAGTCGTCATCCGTCGACGAGTCTTCGACGACGATTTCCGTCTTGTCGTCCGAGATCTTGAAGATGATGTATTTCAAGCCTTTGAATCGCAGTTCGTTGGTTGCGTTCATGCACTCTGAGCCTACTCTCACTCTGTACTTGGGGTATTGTTTGCTTTGCGTTAGCATATGTATTTTTCGTCTTCTTGGCAGAATTGGTCAAAACATAAGAACCAGGGTGGGTTATGTGTTATATCGACAGATATTGCGGTAAGCTTGCATGTTGCCATTTCTGACAATGGAAGGGGGGGGGGTCATTCTTGGAGTATGTTTCTGGGTGTAGACCAGCAGGACGATAGATGAAACGTGGAAGTTATTATACGACAGGAGAGAGGAGGTTGTAGCGCAAGCGGAGAAAGAACGAGGAAAATAGCCAACATACCCGGAGACCTAACGACAACAAAATACATGTTTCATATCAGCAACTTTATTCCACTCAAAAAAAGAATGCCTCAGCAGAAGGACAGAGCCAATCCCTTCTCTCTCCCCCTCCTCCTCCACTTACCGACATGATTGTACAGTTGGTGACGCGGATGGGATAAGATGTGGCAAGTTTATTGTATTCGTGCTTAAAAGCAAGGAGGCTGAGAAAATTACGGAGGGGGGAAAAGCGGGCTTCGTTCGGGGCGTGAAGACTAGATGTTGATAGATAGATCGAGAGCGGTTAGCAATCTCGTTGCGGAAGTGTATAAGATATTTTGTGAAGAATTTGTGCAGGTGGTATGTTATTGTGTTTGCAGCCAATGCCATCACGAGACAATGGCCAAGGGGGATGGCGGGGCGGCGAAGATAGGGTGGTTCAGAGAAGCCGGTTGTTTTGATGGCGCTACCACGGCGAGAAAGCACATACCCCTATGTAACGCAGAGGAGGAGATGGAAATCGAAAGGGGACGAGAGGAGGAGAGGCGAGCGGGTAGAGACGAGGCGAGAGGATGAGGAGCGGTAGATAAGTGTAGATGAGAGGTGTGTAGAAGAAGCGATGTTTGGCGGATGATGGATGGATGGATGGATATGGATGGATGGAATGGATGGAATGAATCGAGGGGCTGAGGGACGCCTTTTTGTTGGTGGGGTTGGGTTGGGAAGTGGGTGGGTTGCCATGGCATGGCGGCTGCGGCTGCGGACACGCACCCGCTGCTTATCGACACGACCCATGCATTGAAGAACCTTGGCAGCCTGGTATGAAATGTGTCCAGTACGGAGTAGTAGCAAGAACAGGTACCCTCCACAACATGCCTACTATTCATTCCCCCTTTCTTGACACAGGGCGCAGGTATCAGGATTTAGCCAGTCAATCCATCAGTCACTTCAGTAATTACTGATGCCTGAAGTTTCGTAGGCTGCATCATCCTTTTTTTTTTTTTTTTTCGAAAATCCGGAGTCTACAGGGCCGTGGCAGCTACCCACACCGCTGTCGTCATAAACACGACAACGGGTGCGTCATGACTAAGCCACATATCAGAACAGAAATATTATCTGTTGTGTATCAGAATCATCAATTTTGAATTTGCGTGACATTCCTTCCAACGGTAAAATAAGTAAATAAATAAATAAATAAATACGGAGTACATGAATAGAAATATAAAGTAAAATCCAAATTTTAAAAAAAGTCACCGGCTGTTATAACTACCTACCCGGCTCGCGATTTGCCCCTCCGGCGGATTGTGGAGGGCAGAGGAATCTTAGTTCGAAGACTACGTAATAGGAATGAATCTAGCAAAGAAAAGAAAATGATGAAACCGAAAAAAAACTTCAGAATAGAATCACTTTTTCAACAGTAAAAGCAGATTCAGCATGCATATTTCGATATTTTATCTATCCTGGAGCTATCCTAACAACAGGGAATAGGCGCGTTGGGTGTGATAGCGGCGTGCGCGATGGTGAGAGGAGTGGAGAGGTTTCTGTGTGTACCATCTGTCTCGTCTGTTCCTGGCTGTGATGGGTTGGTGGGGAGGAAGGGTGCACTGAGAGAATGAAGATTCGATAATGTCATGGGACAGAACAGACGAGACGAGACGGAGGGAGGTGAAATTTGAGGAAGGAAAATGGCGATAAATATATAAATATAGAAGTAAACACACAAAACACCAACCGATGATACAGTAAAAGTAATATAAGACAGGCACGCATAAAATTACATGAGGAAATAATGGAAAAGGGGAACCAGAGAACATGGCTAATCAAGACGCACAATCACAAGGAGATACATCAACAGACAGGATAGATTTTCGCTCCCTCACGCACACCATACATAAAACATAATCATACAATGAAAATGCCAAAAATGAAAAGCCGCCTGGGAAGCTCAGCCAGGTGGTTATTTTTATTGCCTGGCCAAGGCAAAATGGTATCGGGTGACCTCAATGGGGTAACCTGGGAGGAGCGCTTTAAAAACGATTTGTGGTTTAGAACATACCACCACCCATACCGCCCATGCCACCCATGCCAGCTGGAGGAGCAGCAGGGCCCTTCTCCTCTGGTGCCTCGACAATAGCCACCTCAGTAGTGCCCAGAAGGGACGCCACACCACTCGCATCGACAAGTGCGGTGCGGACAACCTTAAGGGGATCAACGATACCAGACGCAATCATATCGACATACTCGCCCTTGGCGCTATCGAAGCCTTTGTTGAAGTCGCCGGCGAAGTCATCAGTGAGTTTGCCGACGATGACACTGCCTTCCAACCCAGCGTTCTCCACGATGGTGCGAGCAGGGCGGGTGATGGCGGTCTTGACAATGCTGACGCCGAGCTGCTGGTCGAAGTTGTAGGGCTTGACGGAGTCGAGGCCATTGGCGGCAGCTTTGACGAGGGCAGTGCCACCACCAGGAAGGATACCTTCCTCGACAGAAGCGCGGGTGGCGTTGAGGGCGTCAACGACACGGGCCTTCTTTTCACCGACTTCGACTTCAGAGGCACCGCCGACTTTGATAACAGCGACACCGCCGGAGAGCTTGGCTAGGCGTTCTTGGAGTTTCTCCTTCTCGTAATCGGAGGTGGTAGGGTCGGCGATAACACCGCGGATCTGCTCGCAGCGCTGTGCGATGGCGTCCTTGCTACCTTCGCCGTTGAGGATGATGGTGTCCTCCTTAGTAATGGTGATGGAGCCGGTGGAGCCGAGCATATCGGCGGTAGCCTTCTCCAGCTTCATGTCGAGCTCGTCGGTGAAGACGGTGGCATTGGTCAGGATGCCGATGTCGCCGAGGATGCTCTTGCGGTTGTCGCCGAAGCCGGGTGCCTTGACGGCGGCGACCTGGAGTTGGCCACGGAGCTTGTTGAGGATGCAGACAGCAAGAGCTTCACCCTCAATGTCCTCAGCGATGATGACAAGGGGTCGTCGGAGGGTGGTGGACGCCTCAAGGGCAGGAATGATGTCCTGGACAGCGGAGATTTTCTTCTCAGAAAGGAGAATCAGGGGCTTCTCGAACTCCACTTTCTGCGCCTTAGTGTCGGTGATGAAGTAAGGGGAGACGTATCCACGGTCGAATCGCATTCCCTCGGTAACCTCTAATTCATCCTCGATAGTCTTCCCGTCCTTGACGGTAATCACACCTTCCTTTCCGACTTTCTCCATGGCGCTGGAGATCAGCTTACCAACATGTGTATCGCCGTTAGCGGAAATAGTAGCAACCTGGGCAATCTCCTCCGTGGTGGTGATGTCCCTCTTGTTCGCCTGGAGGTACTCGACAACAGCCTCAACGGCAGCTTGGATACCTCTGCGGAGGTCCATTGGGTTGCATCCAGCTGCGACATTCTTTACGGTTTCGGAGAAGATAGCCCGAGCAAGGACGGTGGCGGTGGTAGTTCCGTCACCGGCAACTTCGTTGGTCTTTGACGCAACATCCTGGAGAAGACGAGCACCCAGGTTTTCGAACTTGTCTTGAAGGGTAACGGCCTTGGCAACAGTGACACCATCTGCAAATCCAGGTTTGTTAATTGGACGGGGTCGTCTTTAAAAAGATAAAAGAGAGTGCAGGGAACATTATACCCTTTGTGATCTTGGGGGAGCCGTAGGGAGATTCAATCAAAACATTTCTTCCCTTGGGTCCCAGAGTTGTGCAGACAGCCTTTGCAAGAGTGTCAATACCCCTAAGGAGTGCAGCACGGCCTTCCACGCCGAACTTGAGTTCCTACAACAGCCATTTCCATCAGCATTGACGCCTGGGTTGGATATTTGCCGTAGGACAGATTTCAAGAAGACATCCTCCGCAATTGACTGCAGTGAAATGCAATTAAAGCAGGAAAATCATACCTTGTGAGCAAATCTCTGTTGTTGCAGGCTCAAACCAGCTGGACGGAATCGCGAGAGGGGAGCGCGTGTGGAGGAGGCGGAGGAAAGGACCGAAGCCCTGGAGGTGGAAGAAAGAGCTCGCTGCATTATGTTGGTATTTGGAATATATTAAAGCTATAATATAGCGAAGGAACAAGAGACAGCGCAACAAAACCCAGGAAATCGCGCGAGACAAGAAGGCCAGAGAGGAGGAATTGAATAAGCGAAGAGGTGAAGGGAGCGAGTGAAGAAGCAAAGAGGAAGAAGAGAAAGATGAAGATGAAGAGGAAGATGAAGATGAAGATGAAGAGGAGGTTGTAGAAATTTTAAATCCTTTATTTTTTTTTTTTTCTTTTGGAACATTCTCCAGGTTTCTTGGCGCTTGCCCTTTTCGGCGAGGTGTGGAAGGAACTAGAAAGGTCATGTGATCTAGTGAGTCAGCATAGTCACGTGGACGTATCGCAACCCAACCCAAGGAAACAACAAGAGATATTAGCAGTGGATGGGTTTGTGAGTCCTATAATGAGCAAGTAGCTATATCTCACCCCGAATGTCACCAGTGGAGGCTGTTAGTTGGAACGAGTATCTCCTACAGCCCATGCAGTCTCAAGGCTGCGGTAAAGAGCGCGCACCTTCCACGCAGTCCAGCAGGGCAATTCTGCCACTTTGGACTCACCGTATATGATGAGATTATTGGTTTCGTGTGAACAGCAGATAATGGCTTTGATCCAAGGGCTTTTACCCAAGCTATCGACGAGGTCAAATAGGCATCTAGATCTCTCAGTCGAAGCTCCAAAAACCGTCGTTATCGAGGCAAAAACTGTCGAAAACAAGGCTCGGGAAGCGGGGTTTCGGAGAAGGATATTTGTGTCTAGCTGTAAACATGGGAACCGATGTTATGGGCTCTAGAATAGAAAAATTTCTGGGCTTTATCTTTCCTACGGATGATTCGTTATATTGCGAAGACTGTATGCTTTTGGATCTCTGGTCGCTGTAGCTTTGATATGGAACCCTCAGAGCTAGAGAAGAGTCTTCTTGTCCCATTTTTGTCCTTCCTAGCAAGCTCATAACCCCACGATGTAAGTGAATATGGGGACGGGAACAGCTTTAAAACCAATACTCTAGACTATTGATGCAAGTGCTCTTTCAGGGCATTCTTGCTTCCTTATATACTGTCTTCTATCAGGCATGTAAATCACTCACTGGTGCTCTTCCCATTTTATCCAGTCAATGAGACTCTAATATTGTAATTACTAGTGGTAAAATAATTATTTCCATGTTACAGTAAAGTGAATTCAAGAACATTCCACCGGAAACGCACGCTGGTGGCATAAGAGTAGAGGAAGAGAGTGATTGAGGAGAGCAAGAAAAGACAGTGGGAATAAAACCAGTTTCCTAATTCTAACACGAGTGATTGACACCATGGCTTCAGAGCTCTAAAGTTCCTAATCCCCGGACAAGCTTCTTCAGACTGGATTGTACAGTTTGCAGCTCAACGGCAAATGCATCTTTAGCTTTCTCTTTCATACCACGACGCCTTTTCTTCCATTGACTATTTGTTGAAACAGTGGACAAAGATTTCGTAATCGATGCTCGTCCAATATCCACTATCATTAGAGCTTTGACAGATATCATTCCGTATAATGTTCCGCGGCTTTGCATCCCCGTGAAGAATCCCTTGTTGATGAATTGCCCGAACAGAGCTAGCAACCATGGTAGATGTTGATGGGCTGAGGAAGCCCATAATAGGCTTTCCCACTCAGCTGAGCAGGAGCATGTGAGTGTGTACCTTCTTCCATCATAGGAGTACAGGGATTTCGGTTCAAGCTCGACAACACCGAGGCAGACAGGTACGTGGATACCCTGGATGGCGAGTAGCTTTTCTATATCCTGCGTTTACGCAACAGGGGCTTTATGTATTCACTTGTAGCCCCTTTGGCAACTAGAGTGAACCCATGGGAGGAAAGGCGCACTTCAGTGCACCGTAGCTTCCGGCCTTGTTGAATGGACAACAGTCCGCATCATATCCGCGATCAGCAGCAACCTGGTTACGAACGAGGCCCAAGAAGCGCCGTTTTGATGAGGTTCTTCCATTCTTAGTCCGGATCACCGAAGCTCTTCCCCTCACACCGGACGTTAGAGGAGCTGGGGCAGATGCTCTGCGACAGAGGTTTGGCTTCAATGCCGCGCCTCGCATACCAAACACGAGTACGTTCATCAAGGAATTTGTCAATACCTCCTAATAGTTTCTTCTTTTTGTTCTCATCCATGATGATTGCCGATACCGGTGTGGTGTCTCTTGCCTTCACCTTCTACCACTCGTCATTGTGGTGCTCGAAAACGGAGGTCTTCCTTTGAATAAGCTTCAGGTACACGTTACGGCATCCATCAAAGAAGTCTCTTAAAATTCCGCGGGCTCTCTCAACGCAACTCCTGAAGATATCTACCCGCTCGGACACGCCCTCCTTCTGTAGGCACTGGAGTCGAAATAGGCGTTGTATATGAAAGAAAAGTATCCTTTCCAGCGCGAAAGGTGTAACGCCTTTTTCTTGTACTTGCTCGAATCTCCATCGGTGAATGCTCTTCTATGCCTGCTGTTGACGCTTACAAGAGATGAGCGAGCCTTATTGCAAATGGCGGGATGGAAACCCAGGCTCATTGCCTTGATGTTCGCCCGCGTCGAACGGATGTAAGGGTTCCATTGCTTAACTTTTTGCTGAATGTCTCTTCGGTTCTGTGAAAAATCTCCCGAGCCGTTTAGGTTCTCTTTGCCCCATGCCACACAGGGGCCTTTTCTTCGATTTTTCCATTAGTCGACGATCCAACCTACATTTATGAAGATCAATCAAAAGGACTCGCTTGAGCTCATCATTCCATAGCATATTTTCCGGTCGAAGGTCCCCATGGATGACCCCTAAGGCACGAAACTCCTTCTTTGACTTCAAGATTTCCTGTCGCAGTGTCGGCCACTGCTCAAGCTTTGCGATGCTGTCACCTCCCCAAGCCATAAGTAGCATATGGCGCACTTGGCCGAAACCATGTAAAAAGTAGGTCTTCGCCAAATTAATAGATCCGACGAAGACAGTGGTAGCCGCTCCTTGAACCCTCTGAAGAATTCGATATATTTCCGCTTCACCTGAAACTTCCGTCCAGAGGGTAGAAGTTGTCCCTTTAGCAGCTACAGTATAGCCGTACTCCGCACAGGTCAGCTTAAATAATGACCCGTACGCCCCACGATTACCCAGTGGCCAGCAGTTATGGTCAAGATTATGATCTAGCTGCTGGTTCAGCAGGCGCAGTAGGGTTGAACCGTTGATATGATGCCTTTCAACTTTTTCTCCATGCTGGTGTCGTGTCACATTCGGACAGTTGTAGTCCAAAAGGTCACTGGAGCAGAGGCCGAGCAGGCACCGCTGAGTGCAAAATTTCGCTGTGTTCTGTTGGAAACGGCCTCCTTGTGCATTGTGTGAATCAGACCGACCAGCCCATTGAGTCGGTGGAGACGACGTAATCTGACTAAAACCTCGCTTACGGCCAGGTGCCATTTGATTTGAATCAGAATCAGAAGAATCAGTCGATTCCATGTGACGACCCAAATCGGACGGCGAACATCCGGGCTGAGACCGAGTGGGCATGCGACGGCTCTCAGGGGGTGACGTAGGGGACGACGGTAAATACTCGGATCCCGTATACTCAGAACTGGTGTACTCAGAATCTGGAGGCACCTGTCGCAATTCCTCTTCCGGTATCTCGGAAAGGGTGTAGTCAAAGCTAGTCTTCCATATATGAAGCTGCGCCCGCGCAGCATTCCGCCAGTTTTGGTCACGGGGAGCCGAACGAAAACTCATCAGGCAAAGACACAACGCCCTCGCGAGTGCGGTTTTCGGTTGGTCGAAGGCCCGGCTATCCTCTGCTTTCAGATCCAAATTTGGCTCGCACAGGTAATAGTAAAGGGTACTAGGGTCCTCGTATGGGATATGAAGGAGGACAAGTGCCAATCCGTTGGTCAGGTATGCATACGGAATCCCATCTTCTATCATGGTGTGATAATGCTGGGTCACCGCAGATCCCGATATGTGTTGTGCGTTATACTTCAATTTTTCTTTCTCCTTAATTGGTATGGTCCGTGGCTTGACAACGGTTTCCCAGAAATTCATGGGTCGCAGGCCCGTTCGAAGATTTTCCACAGAGAGCTTGTGAGGCGGCTTATATTCCACTGTTGTGAGTAGGGTGCTCATGTTGTTGTCCAACCGGTGGATGCAGAACTGGTCCGGTCTGGCACGTTGAGAGTCGGATTGATTTGTATAAGCGTCGTCCAGGGAGTTGGCATGATTTTCAAAACGAACTCCATCACCCAGACCAAACTCTTTTTGAGCCTCGGGTATTTTGCATAGCTCATCAATTATGTCCACAATGTGATCTTCCACCGCTAGACGCTCATAAGTTTCAAGATCCTGCTCGCTACTGAGTGGGCGATGACTTATGCGTCGGGAAAGCTCTTCTAGGGCTATATGAGGCGGAAAGTGGCGTGGTGCAGCGCCTCGAACGGGCTCTAGGTAGTTACAGACGGAGGTGAAGATATCTTGCTGCTTGGCTGGCAAATCTGCCCATTGAAGAAGATTTGTCGGGCAGTATTTCCCCTTCGGTTGCGGTATTGTGCCCTTGGTAGAGCGGGATGAAGCTGCAACCCTCAACGGAATAGAGAGGAGGGTATGGCAAGCACGAATAAATTCGGGAAATGTGGTTGGTAAGTTGCGCTGTTCTGCAAGTCTGCGTCCCTCTTCTGCGCGTTTTCGTCCTTCCTCCGCAAGCTTGTGCCCCTCTTCCGCGCGTTTTCGTCCTTCCTCCGCAAGCCTGCGCCCCTCTTCCGCAAGCCTGCGCCCCTCTTCCGCTTGCAGAAAAAGAGCTCTGTAATCAGATGAGCTGTTGTCGGCCATTGGGGCTCGGTGTTTGGAACGGGCTTCACAATCGCGTTTTCGCTGTTGAAGAGGCTTGATTGCATGCTCTGGGGGATTGTGATGGTTGATCTCATTAATGTCGGAGAAGCTAACTAGCGAGCGAGATTACCTATATATCTAGGTACATGTCTGGATCACGTGCACGCAAGGCAACAGCGGCAGCAGGCAGCAGCTGTGACAGCAGGCAACAACTCTCTTTATTATTTATGTCTGTAAAATTTAGTCAAAATTAAGAAAATATTTATATAATTTTATTCAATAATTTTATTAATCTATCTACTATTTTTCCCCCCTTCTTTTTGAGTTAAAATACAATTAATCAAAATTATATTGTACAGAGTAAAGTAGCCAGAGAAGAGTTAGTTAAATAGTCTCAATATAAATATTGCTGGTGTTGAGGATTGGCGTATCTACGGAGTATACGGATACGAAACGCTCTCGCGAATGAGGTCATCAAGTCACTTTGTTAGCGGCAAAAAGAGCGAAATCTCCAGAATCAAAATAAACCAGACATACCTTAACCTGCTGCTGTCTGAGCATGCGTCCAAAAGGCCCTAACCTACCTTTCCATAGGTGCTAAGGATATGTTTCTCACGCTCAGAGAGTGGTTAAAGGCAACAGTGAGCATGCATCGTTGGCCATATTTAAGAAAAAGTGGGCTTAAGTTACTTCATTCACTATGAGGTTCTTTATTCTTTTTCGAGTCCCATTCCAAGAAAGTCAGTCCATGGCCAATGTCAAGCTTCCCAATGGGGGAACTATTTTATTTACCTCATTGAGACCGCGACGGGCACGATCCGATCAGGTGACCGGTGAGCCGAACGTGCAACTTTCTTATCTCAGCAAGCTCAGACGCTTCTGTTGGCCCTTACGGCCGTTGCGGTTAGCGATCCCACTAGATCACGTGACCCACCACTATATTATGTTCTTGTAGATAGATCTATCAATACAACCTTTAACTATTCTACAGGTTATAGTCTGAATAGTATGTTTTTCTTTTAAGAATATTGTATCAATATTTTTTTAACACAGATAGTTCATCTTTTTTGAAAAGACTCTTACTCTTTATTAAAGATATTTCATTTTCTCTGAATCTATCAGTTAGTAGATTTATATACTTTATATTTTTAAGAAAGTGCATTCTTCATTGTGAAGAATATCACTTTTTTTTTTTTTATATATATCTAGAAGAAGCAGAGTTA